GATCTGCATCAGATCTTTGGCCAAATCTTGGCACATCTGCATTGCAGAAAAACTGCAGATTGCAGAATCTTTACAGATTCTGCAAAGATTTTTGCAGACCGAGTTTTTTTGGGAAGTTAGCATTTGCCTTGTCATTTAGTGGAACAAACATAATCAAAGAAAGTTTGAAGTTTTTAGAAGTAATTCTGTGAATATTTGACAACATCTACAGGCAGTATAGCCGCCTAGTTTGAAACTTCTAGAGGATGGATGACTGGAGTATCATGTACAAATATCATACTAAAAAGCCTTCAAATTATCCACATGATATACCTCTAAAGCATGATGAAGAGTATTTCTTCATGAAACTCGTATAACATGGAATCATTTGTAGCTGAAATGTTGATGATGCAGTCTCTCGATGAAGGAAAACATAGTCTGCGTTTGAAAAATAAATAATTCCTTATTATCGTGTTTTTTATGTTAAAATTATTATCCATTAATTTTATTAATGTTATGTTCAAAAGAAACAGAAAAAATATAAAAGTTTGTGTTGTTTATGATTTAAAATAATGAATAATACACAAAATCATGGTAAATAAAATTGAATTTGTCTGGAAATGTTGTACAGAATTATTATATCTACATTCCGTTTTATTTATTGTTGAACGACGATTACGAACATTTAACGATTTACTGTTTTTACAATCGGCTGAATCTAAATCTTTGTACTTTGGTATATAGATTGCATCAAATTGTAAATTTCCTCCTGTGCCAGTAATCAATATACGCTCACTGTCATTATAAAATGCTTGCCATTTAGCTGCCAATTCCGGTGTCCATTTGATGCCTCTTAACCACTGAACATATTTCATATAATCGAAATCTGTTGCATTCATTCTAGAAAAGAAGATATAGAAAAAAAAATTTACTTCGTGAATAAGAAAGGATACGGTCAGAGTAGTTCTTTACTGTCTAAAATAAGAAAACTTCTACCTAAAATTTGACGAACTTGATCAAGATATTGCCGTTTCTCAGTAAAAAGTCTTGTAAACCGAAAACTTCTCTTGTCCCGTAGAAAAGCGAAAAAGAATTAACGCAATCTTGGATGAAGAGCTCTATGACTTTCTTTTAGCTTAAGAACAAAAGTAAAGAACTTACGGTCCATCATAAAGTGTCCACCAAGATGCAAGATCAATAGCAGTTGCACAACCATAAACCTTCGGTATTCTTGGATAATATGTAAACA